GGACAAAGAAGAGTTACATTATTTGTTTTCTTGGGCAGATTTTCACAGAATGCAGCATTCTTAAGAGAAGATTATGATGAGAATCAAGCCCTCTGTATGTTTTATACTCACTTAGACACTCATGGAATGACCTAAGCACTAGCCCAGTGTTTACAGGTGTTTGAGCAAAATGGATATGCAGCAGTACTATTCAGGCATATAGCAGTTGAGATACTGATTAAGCTGTCCACACAAGGTATCACCTTGATCTCTGGGTCTCTACATCTAAACTTAATACACGGATTCCCTTTTAAGGGTCTCTCTTGCCACCAACTTTAGAAATGACAAAAGACATTATTTTCTCTGCTAGTGAAAGCCGGTGGAGTCATCAGGAACTCAGGTCATTACAGAGAATTTCTTGTCAATAAAAAGGCACCTTTTTTTGAAGCTACATCACCCCAAGGGTGCTGCCTTAGCCCACAGAACACCATCCTCCACTTGCAAAAACTTCCATCCATGTTATGTCACTTTTTGTTACCAAACTACTGTATCCTTCATCAAGTCACGCTGCTGTACTGTATAATGCTCCTTCCTTTCTAAGGCTGTGGAAGAAGTAATTTCTGGAGGACTGCCAGGCTTCATCCCATTGGTGCTTTATCTCAAAGGCAGATGAGATAAATTTGTTCTGTCTCTCAACAGTCTATCACACAGAGAAAGGAATAATATCCTTGGGACAATCTGAATCCAGCCTGACCCCTATACGTATACTTTGCCCCAATTAGTTCACCTCATCTTGAGTAACTACTGAGATTATAAATGCCAATGCAACTTCAAATACCTGCCAGGTATCGAGGCCAGGAAGGATCATTTAGCATCTCAAATAGCCAAGAATCAGCAAGAAAAATGGGATAATTGGCAAGCCTAGACACACACTGTGTGTATACATTAGAGTGCAGGTCAGCAGTTGTTGAAGCTTTCATTTCATAATTTTTTAGGGATGTCAAGTGAGCATTTGAGGGCAAAGACAGAGGCAGAGGATTGCAAAGAAGGACCCTAGCTGCGAAAAGTCTTTTTTAAATAGCTTCTCAAATTGCCTTGCTATTATACTGGCAGGTTTTTGTTCAAATGCTAGTAACTAAAATGTGCTCCATTCTATTACAAAGAAAGCAGAGGATAATAATTTGGGGCTTTGTGAAATTTAGGTGCACGCTTTAAGCAGTTGTAGCCTTCTTGATAATTTCAGTGATGTATTTTTGCTGTCAAAGTTCTAAATAGCCGCGTTCCTCCCTTCATTGCCACTGGTGAATTTCAAGTATTGATAGACACAGAAAGATAGAGCTTAATCTTCACCGTTCTTTTAATACTGAAGGCTCTCTTGGGCCCACTATGGAAAGAAGGTATTTGCATTCATATCAGCATAATTTTGTTAAGGGCTCTGGGTATCACTGCTGGCATTTAGAAAATCCACGTCTTGATGAGGGTTTTCTTCATGCTTAGATTTGTTCAGACAAAGCAGCTTCCATTTCAAAAAAAAAGTAGCAGACGAATATATATATATATAAAATATATATATTCATGTATATATTTGGCGTATCTTGAACAGACTGAATTGATACATGCAAAAATAATATTTTTGTTCCTCTTTTTGACAGCCTCAGCTTTTGTTTGAATTCTGTTTCAAACTGAGCTACATACATGCTTTCAAAGATTTTTTTTTTTTTAGATATTAGCAGGCTCACAGAAAATTTCAGTAATAAAGTTCTGAAAAGCAAACACATCGGATTTTTGAAAACAGCTACCAAGTGCAAGTGCAAGTCCAAACACTCCTAACTTCCACATCTCTTAAGATGCCCTTACTTCTAAGGAACATTTACAGCATGTTTTATACGCTATACAATTTATAACCTGAATACCATTCCACATTAATTAGTGAAGTCCATTACCCTTTGGGCTGTGGCATGTTAGCTCATATTACAGGCTGCCCAGAGAGGCTGTGGAGTCTCCTTCTCTGGAGATCTTCCGAACCTACCTGGATGCCACCCTGTGCCACGTGCTCTGGGTGTCCCTGCTGGAGCAGGGGGTTGGACTAGATAATCTCTAGAGGTCCCTTCCAACCTCAGTCACTCTGTGATTCTGTGATTCACAGATCAGGATCAGAGCCCTCCCAAAACCAGACCTTCTTGCAGTTATGCTTATGCTTAACTCCACAATTTTTTTTACTTCCTTTTAGTTTATTTTTTTAACTATATTTGTTGTTAAGGTATTTTGACAGATACAATACATACAGAAGGATATATACATAGAAACTCCCCTATCTAAATAATTTTGGTCACTCTATTCACACCAGGTAAACTGCCAAGCTGCTCTAGCACAGGTATGTCCGTCAGATATTTAAAAAAAAATAAAAACAAGCAAAAAACAAGCAACTTTGGGGACCCCTCCCTAACTGGGCTGCAGCGGGGGCATCCTGCCCGGTGCAGCATCTGTTATCTGATCCCTGGCCCACGGGGTCCTCCGGGTGCTGAGACAGGGATTTTGTGACCTGCTCTGGAGCATTACCGGATAATCCTCCAGCAAGGGGCAAGTGGCACTCGTACCTGCTGTTGGTAGCACTTACTGTGGATCGCAGCAAATGCACTCACTCCTCGCTCGCGTGCCTCTATGGTTAGACCAGCTGCTGGGGCTGTTGCCCTATTTCCTGATGGATTTTATGTGCTATCCTCACCACTGCCCTCCTTCTGTGCTGTATACAGAGTTTTCCGTTTGTTTTCTGTAGTGGAAATCTGCACATGTACATTTTTTTGTATCCTCTCATGCTTATTGAAAGGCTGAATAGTTTGTTCATCACCAAATTAAGTAACGGGCTTTAATACTGCAGTTTAAGAGTGATTTTTGTAAATTCTGACAGGGTAGAAATGAGATACAGCACCCAAACAATAGCTTGAAATAAGAAAGAAAGTAGAATATAGCTACACCTATTTGGCAAATCCCAATCTATTTAGCAAATGCTAACCTAAATCAAGAAGAATACATATGAGAACAGTGTATATGCCCTGCTTTGGTAGTTATTGAATATTTACCTCCACACAGAGTTTCATGAAGGAGACTGAAATTTCCCTGCTCTCTATTTTCCTCCTTTAAAATAAATCACTGTGTCTGCACACTGAAATACCAGTCTATTGTGAGATGAGCTGAAATTTTGTAGAGGATTCAATGCACACTGGAAAAGCGGAGAGCTCCTGCTATCTTTGTGAGTTAGTTGAAAAGTGAAAACAGATTAGAGAAATAAGTTCTTCAATAGGCAGCAACACGGCTTTCACACCAGATTTGATGAGTAAGTCCTCCCAGTGGCACTAACACCTGATACGCACATTGCATGGATTAGCAAGTTTTAGTCCAGGCAGAAGAAAAAACAGTTTGTTTGTTTGTTTGTTTGTTTTTACTTGCAATAACTGCTGCAGGTATATTATCTAATGAAAACACAACAAGATTTCTCTAAGGAATGTGAAATTCGTTTGGTGTTTCCATCAAACAATTATATGTTGTTCATCCACTATCTGAGAAGCACTGAGGCATATCCAGGCCTGATTACATTTCTTCTTAGCTCCAGATCAGAATATGCCACTAGGGTGGCAAGCAGTTTTTCATCTCCGCCATACCAGAACCTTGATGCAGGCTATACACAGGAGAGCGGTTTCTAATAACAATACAGCCACATTTGCTTAATATCTTGATGATCCTAAAACAAAATGCCTTTGATCATTAATGGAGCCTTTCAGAACTTTTCAAATTAAAGGATAAATTTTCAAAGGCATGGAACAGGGATTTGCTGCCTGTCTGCTGTTAACACCAGCGGGAGGCAAACAGCGAAATTCCCATGCTCTGATTTGAAATGCAGCCCTTCAAATATTGTATTTTCAAAAGGCACAGTAACAAAGAAGCTTCCAAGAACAGCAGTATCACTTCCACTGATGCTATCTGATGGTTAATGCTTCTTCCAAAAAAATGCTAGGCCTGCAGAAAACAGAACAGCTCAAAGATATTTTGCAGGGCAGGAACACTGGGCACTGCTGGGGCTGCATCCCTTGACCTGCTGGGCAAAAGCCCTCACGAACGTTCCCCTCTCCCTCCACACCCAGCACGGACACAGTGCAAAGGGAAAAGCCCTCCGGCAACAACCATCACTTCTGCAAAATGGTGTTAACCTCCTGGAGGCTGCAACTGATTATGAGGAGGAGAAAAGCCAAAACAAAAGGATCAGTTCTGCACCAAGACGCCCCACCACCGCAGGAACATGAAGGCAAGAAAGGACGAGAGTTGCATTGTGACACTGGTGTTAAACAGTGTCTGAGGAGCGCCATGAAGGTTAACATCCAGTCTAACCATTGCAAACACAGAAGGAAACAGGATCTTTCCCAGCTGTCTGCAAATTCTGCTCACGTCTCTCTAAGTAAGTACACAGTGTGTTCCTCAACAATCCTGGAAAACATGGCAGTTTATGCAAGTGCTAAGGGAAATCAAAATCTCAATTGCTTTTTGGAAATGCAATAAACTACACATTCTTTTCCCTGATGGTTTTTATCATTAATAACGTAATCTTACAAACTAAACATCAGAAGGTGTAAACAAGTTGTTAGAACAGATTCTTGAGAGCTATTCTTCCCATTGCAGCAGAATTTTTCAATTCAGCAAGGAATTTTTACAAGTTATCTCTACGAGACAGATAAGGATATATGGAATTCCCACTCTCATCTCCTTTATTAAATACATATTTCTTATTTAATTAAACGACTTTGTAAGATTAGTTTTGATTCATGTGGTCAAATGGCAGAGACTAATTAGAACAACCAAGGTTTGGAAGCCCATTAGAAAATAATCATTCTCAGTAGTGAAAGTAGCAAACATGAACTGCATATTAAGGCATTATCTCCTCTAAAGGTCAAAAGAGATATTTCAAAAGGTTTCATCTGTTTAATTTTCCAAAAGACAGAAATAACAGAAATATCTGAGCAAGTACTTACCACAATGTCTTCTGGAAAAGTATCCCGACTGAAAGAACCATCATCAAACATAACTTCATAGAAAACTTGCGAGGTGATTCCTATGACTCTGCAACTGTAATATCGTGTATTCCTGTGTTTCGTGATGACTGTCTGCCCAATTGTAATGGCCTTCTCACATGCTTTTGTTCTCTTGAAAAAAGAAGAGTTTAAAAGAACAAGTAATTTAAAAATACCAGGTTGCTCAACAGAAATGTATCACTGTCAAAACAGAACTGATGAGAATTCTTCCCTTAATACAAAAAATTCAAATGCAAAATTATTCATTGTAAAAATAATCATATGAGTTGGTAAGTCACACAGGGCCTTTGAATTTCATAAGAAAAGGAACAGCATCCACAGAATAACAAATTACAACATTCAAAAATATTTTTGTAACTGATGCATTGTAACCTTTGCAGTAGGGCAAGAATACTTAAGAAATTAGCAATATTTTTACATCTTATTTGTTGTGCTGGATGATAAAACAGACAATGCTACGAAAACACTTTAAAAGGTGTATTTTTAAGCACTGTATTTTCGTATAATTCTCCATATTGCTAAATATTTTGCTAAATTGATAAATATTTTGGTGAGTGGGATGAAATAATTACATGCATATTCAGTTCTTGTCAGAACTGCCCACATCAGTCTATCCAAATAATTTCTTAACCAATACTGAGCAGAGCATTTGTTTTCAGACTTCAGACAGCAATGATCACTTCAGCACTTATTTACATAACACATTAGTAACAATAATTTTCATTTTTCACTTCGACTACACTAGAGCTAGTCAGTCAGAAGTGTAGCAGAGCCGTCAAACTATGCAAAAATCCTACATCAATATCTGCTTGAGATATAAAACACAACTGAACCTTGTAAGTCAACAAATGCTGAGCTCACATGGTGCAGACAGATGTACACACCAGCTGCCAAGCCATGGATCCCCATGAACTTCCTGCTTAAAAATCAGGCTTTTCCCCCAGGAAAAAGAAACAAGAAGCTTCTTATCCCAACAAAACAAGGAAGGGACTTCTCTCCTACGAGTTTGACCACCGGTTCAGAACTTCACACAAGTCCACTGGCTTACATGGCAGTTGTCATGACTGTGGTTGTGGCCGGACATTTGAACTTTTCCAATAGCAGAAGACAATAAGAAAGCAGGCAGTTGAAATGCCTTTATTAAAATATTTTTGATTAGAAATGTTTGTGTAAAAGGCATGAAAATATTTCATGGCATATACTGAATAGTTCATTTTCTACCACTGCTTCGCCAGTCTTTCAAGGCAGTGAAGTCTTCTATCAGTGTAACAATCTAAAAAAAAATCTGTGAATATCTGGAAAATGATACTGAGTTCTTACTATTACTATTAAAGAAAAACTAAGGGCAGCCTCAACTCTTTCTGTTAGACACAATGTAAAAATTGATAGTAATTTTAATCATTTTGAGATGAAATGACCAAATGAACACTCCCACTTACTTCAGGTCATCTCAGATAGCAAAACTCTGTTATGTTTCAAAATAATTTCCAAGTTTACCTAGAAGCAATGTTATGATCACACTAAGAAGCTATGCAATCATATACCTGTATAATAAAATTATTGTTTATGTAGCTAGGTAATTAATTCTGCTATTTAGTCTGACTACAGAGATGTAGAAGCAGGATGTTGACAGGACTGACTATATTCCTATGTCAATTAGCACTTTTTATCCAATCCTGAAATGTACAGTGATATCAAAGAATTAATTTAACAGTCCATTCTCAACTTCAGTCATCAGTTATTTGGGAAAAAATAATTTTAAAAAATATACAAGTAGACTAGAGTGTATTAACTGAATTGTTTGTACAAGATAATAAAGCCTATGATAACAGTACAAGTAGAACTACCTGTATTTTTTAATGTTTTTCAAGTCTAAAGAAGATTCTCTGCATAAGAAAAATATAGTATTTAAAAAAATGATACAGGATCATTCAATGAGAAAATATTCAGAGAAGAAATGCCATAGTTCATCAGAACAAATAATAAAAATCAGAAATGCATCCAAGGTTCAAGGAAAAGGAGCTTATTTTTCAGTATGCTATCTTGGTAGCATTCTTGATTTATTTCACAGAAAAAATATTGACAAGCACACTCTATAACTGATTGCATGTCTCAGAAAACATTTCCTGTCAGAAAATCCTAGGAATTTATTGATGTTAAGAATGTCATTTTTGATCAGAAAGGACAGTTGTTATGCAAGGGAATCTATCAGATTAAAGAAGCAGCTGTGGTAGTCACCAGATTATTGAGAAAACTGTGGTTTAAAAAGCATGATTTTCTTTAACAGTACCTAAGCCAAGGATGAACTAAGATAGCAGCAGAAATGCAGAAAACAAGTGGACAGAGAGGAAAAAAAAGTCAACATCTTCTGCGTGCAAACTTCAGAAAGACAAAAGGCAAAACTGTTTTCTCCCTCATTTTCTGTATGGCAGAACATACAAAAATGTAGTTAAAACAAAATCTATAAACTATGCATATATAAAAAAGAGATAAATATCTTCAAGAAAAATATTTAAATATCTAAGTATATAAGAGAAAAAGCACTTAGAGTTTCCAATGACAGCATCCCTTCATTCCCTGTATGTCCATGGAGGAAGGAACTGTCCCAAAACTGCTGTTGAACATCCCAAAAATCAAAATCCAGCTGATCGCTTAAAACCTACAGCAATTCCTATCGCAACTGCCTCTTCTTAAGAAGGTAAGTTTTGCTAAATGCATATCATGGGAGCTGCCTAAATAACCTTACCTGGTGAAATGAAATCTCACCAAAGAATTTGCTTGCCTCCAGCAACTTACTCTGACGCAGTGCTAGCTTTGCTAATCTTATTACATTGATTCCCCTTAATTTGTATAGTTGCATAAAACTGCTCTTTTTCTCATTTTTTGCCTATGAGAGAGATTTTTACTAATAAAATGAAACCCTCCTGGAGCACCTCAACTCAGCAACAGTTCCAAATGTTCTAGCAATTTGATAACAGAAAGATCTGAGAATATTTTTCATGCCCAGGGAGTAACATAGTGGAAGAAAAAAAATGAAAAAACTCTGACCACTATAAGATGTGCAGGAAGCATAGCACCTTCCTTGCCTAATAATGCTATAATTTGCATAAAGAAAATAAATTAGCATGTACTAGATGTAAGAAATAAGTAAAGTCATTCCGAAAAAAAAATTCTGCAAGCAAAATTTTGGATTATTTCTGGATTATTTCTGGAGCTGTATTTGGTAAATACAAGACTTGGATTTGAGCATGGACATCAGAAGTGCCTATTTTGGAAAGTCATTTCAATATTTAAAACTTCTAATTCATAATATTTGTATGTTGACTTCATTTATCAGCACTATGTGGATGCAGGGATTATCATTTCCTTCTGCTTTTCTTCATGATAATTTATCATCGTAAGTCTTACTGATATATACCATGGTTGACACTGAAAATGTACTTTGGAAAGAAATAATGAACACAACTCAGAAAGCATCAGACCTTCAGTCAAAAAGATGTATGATAGAACATTGATAAATACTTTCAACACAATTTTCTTCAGATCACAGCAACAAATTATTTGGAAACAAATACCAATAAATAATACGTATCTATCACACTCAGTACATAGTTAGGTTTGTGGTTGAACAACCTACTTGGTTTATGTATTATAATACTACTGTGGATATCTGTAACCATCAAGAAGCAATCCTTTGATTGAGGAACTTGAAAAAAGTAGTAATCAAAAATATCCACTGAGAGTAAAGAATATATTAAGAAAACATCAGTGAACTAATGTTTTCTTCCTTGACATGAAGGAAAAATAGTAACACTTTACGTATAACATTATGAACTTCTAAACACCAGAACACATTTGTTCGTGCTGACAAAAGAATGTCTGATTCTTGTAAAAATTTGCAAAATCAGTATAATACTTAAATCCCCAGAATTACATTTTTCTGTTTTCAATCAAGAAATTTAAAACAAAGGACAAACAAAAAAGTTCATTACATTCATTATTCAAGGGAGGTGATCCTGCCCCTCTACTCAGCCCTGGTGAGGCCGCATCTGGAGTATTGTGTCCAGTTCTGGGCTCCACAGCACAAGAGGGATGTGGAGCTGCTGGAGAGAGTCCAGTGCAGGGCTACAAGGATGATCAGGGGCCTGGAACATCTGCCCTATGAGGAGAGGCTGAGGGAGCTGGGCCTGTTCAGCCTGGAGAAGAGAAGGCTGAGAGGGGATCTCATCAGTGTCTATAAGTACCTCAAGGAAGGGAGTGAGGAGGATGGTGATGGCCTCTTTTCACTGGTGGCCACCGACAGAACTAGAGGAAATGGCCACAAACTAAAGCATCAAAAGTTCCACAGGAACTTAAGGAAAAATTTCTTACCAGTGAGGGTGACAGAGCACTGGAACAGGCTGCCCAGAGAGGTTGTGGAGTCTCCTTCTCTGGAGATCTTCAAAACCCGCTTGGACGCAGTCCTGTGCCACGTGCTCTAGGTGACCCTGTGTGTGCAGGGGGGTTGGACTAGATGATCTCTAGAGGTCCCTTCCAACCTTAAGCATTCTGTGATTCTATGTGTGAAGAATTGCTCTGCTTAATGGTGAACAGCAATGTAGTTTCTGCATCAAAAGCTCGCTAATAGCCAGGATAAACAAAAAAGCATAACACAGTATAACAAGAAAAGCAATTGTGAGTAAACTTCCGAAAGTATAAACCCAAGTATATATGAGCATATGACAATCTCCTTTGTCTCAGGATTAAGTTAAAAGAATTTCATAGAAAAAAGTTTCTGTAACAGGATGTCTGATCCTTCCAAATTTTGCTCCACTGAAAAAGGAAAAACACTTTCTCTTCTGTAGCTCTGATTTTGATTTGAGCCACATGAAATAAGTGAATCCAACAACTTTTTGCAAAGGTTAGGGCCAAGTTTCAAGAATGGTTTCAATACTCTTCAATATTCTTATCTGAGCTAAGTTGCTCATACTTCACATTGCCACTTCATAAGCAATAATGCAAAATCCTTTTTCTCCATATTGTTTTTTTTTTCTCATTGAAAATAACAAAATTCAGATCAAGAAAATCACTGGGAGAAAAAAAACTTAATGGGAGTTCTGTTCAACTTAGTAGTACTGTATTGATTCAGATGAATATTGATTTTTGTTTCTTAGCATACAAAATAATATGTATTCCCATTGTGGAAACAGTGGGAAAATGCAGTTCCCACTGCTCCAGGGAAAATGCATACTTAGAAAGTTAAATGTTAAGTAGTAAGGTCAGCATTTTTAAAACTTAGAATGGAAGAATAAAATCTGCTATAAAAGTAACTTTTGTAGTATTTTGTATGCATTATTAATAATAGCTAACGTTTACACAGAAGGGCCAGAAAAGACCTTTCTTTAAGACAAGGGTCCTAAAGAAGAGCCAGTCCATAACTTCATCACATTAACCACTTAGGATCACAGAAGAAATTACAGTGAAATAAATGTTTGTTTTTGTGACTGCACAAGGGGGACATGACAGGGAAAGAAGTATATTAAAGGTTGATCAAAGGATTAGGGAGCAGTGAGAGAATTCATAAAGTTGCTATAGAAAACATTATACCACAGAAAGTCCTGTTTGATCCAAGAACATCTTCCCAGGCCAATGATAAAAATCTCACTACTTGAGGTATGGAAACTTATCTGTTAGTAATGTCAGAAAATATTTGGTCAGAACAGTCTTGTTCTTACTGGCAAAGAACTTGACCCAGTAATTTAAGCTAGTGGATAATGTTTTCTAAGAAAGTCATAAAAATTATCTGAAAATTTATCTGTACAGATACTGTTTCAAATTCATTTTGAAACAGAACTTGTTCTCATAAAAATGTATGAAGACTGTAACTTCATATAAAAATGTACTGGTTTCATACAATTATTTATTTTGGAAAGCAAAAATCCTTAAAAAGCAAAACTGTTCTGGGGAAGTTTTGAAAAGAACACATAATTTGTCTGCCTTGTGTTTTTCAGAACTATTAACAGATTGAATACTCAGGCCTGACTGATTACTCTAGTTGCAAGGCATTATGTTCTATTATACTCAGAAAAAATCTTAGCCTTTAGTAGTCTTGTCTCTAAGACCAAGAATTCACTAACAACCTCTTGAGAGAAAGACATATATTATGCAGACTTTTATTAGCATGGATACAGGGGTTTACTCTTTCATACTCTAATGTACAAAGGAGATAAAAAAATCAAATATAGAGTTCTCAACTTGAAAAGGTGAGAAACCATCCTCTAAAGTCATTCTCTTAATAGTAATTTCCTTGTTAAGACTACACTAAGCAGTAGTCATTCTAGTTGTACATTGCTGAGAAACAACTAAAATACAATTTTAAAATCCATAGAAAAATGGCAAAAAAAAAATCTTAACTGTGGTAACAATTCAGTGGAATAAAAGACATTAAAACTTTAAAGACAATCATAAATAATTTTGTATGTGTCTCTTGTAAAATTAAATGTTCCTCTGCAGCACAAACTAGAAGAAAAAGAGGACATAGTAATAATGAGAATTGTCATGACATATCAGTGTTAGTTTAGCAGATGATAGAAAAACTATATTAGCATATTTGCAAGATACTGTTCAGAGGCAGGACAAAGGACTTGCATATCATCTATATCACAGTATCTGATGGTATTTGCAAGACACTCGGAGCTGCTATTTGTAATACACTCCAAGTTAACACAACAGAGAATTCAATGACCAGTTATTGCAGGCAAAACAATACATTCAGCAATGACTCTAATGAAAGAATGTGCTAGACATATCAGGTATCATTTCTCCCAGGTAATGGGATAATCAAAAAACTTCAAGATACAGCAGTTTTGCTAGGTATGGAAATATGATAGATGAAGCTATTATTGCACACGGTGTGAATCCCTTTTTCCACTTTATCTAGAAGCATATTTTCCTTCTACGATTCCATTTTCCAATCAATAAGGAAACAAATTTCTTACCACATTTTGGTTGATCTTGTGCCTGAAACACGTGATGTAGACAACATATGGCCAGTCATCAGGTTCCATAAGCACTCCTGCAGCATGGGCACAAGTAACATGGAAGGAGGCTGGACAGCGTCCATACGAGCACTGAATGCAAGCCCCAGAAATTTTCTTAATTCTCTGTCTGCAGAAAATGCATTTCTGTAGAAGCAAAACAAAACAGAGTATTTAACATATGATTACAACTCTGTTGATTTTTGTATGTATTTCAAGGGCTACGAAGTTCCTTGTATTTCAATACTCTGTACCTTGCAATCTGCATGGGAAAAGAATAAGCATTTATGAAATAAAAGATAATTTTGTAATAATAATTTACAGCTGGCATTTTTGTCTTCTTGTGGAAACATAAAGACTATTTTGTTGGTATAATAAGAAAATCGATACATAAATGATTATTTTGAACTTTAATTTCAAGTTCCATATACTGTATTGAGAATTAACCCATTAAAATGGGTTAATTGAAAAACCTGCACATAATTCTCCAGAAAAATAAAGAGAATCAAAGAACCAAAGGGCTAGGCAGGACTTCCAGACACCATTTAATCTCTTTCTCTGCTTGAGCCTGGACTACATGTATACCCAGATTGGCTTTGGCTGTTTAAGCTCCCCTTTATAGTCTTCCATGAAAAAGTTTCTACAATATCCTTGGATTCCCTGTTATTTGAAGTTAGAAATGCCTTCTTACTATCCAGTCTTCACATAGTTAGACAACTGAAGGCTGTTTCCTTTTCATTTTTTTCCAATCCTTTCTTCTATGGTAGTTTAAGGGCAAATACTGTTGCTATTCTGTGTTTTCATGATTATGTTTCTTTACTGCCTCCGCTTTCATATGGAGATAACCATAAGGAACACCCAAGCATTGCTGGCTGAAGCCAGGTTAGGTAGGTCTCTGAAAGAGGCCCCACCACGCTATAAAAATAAAACTGCAAGAAGAGCAGTACGGTGCCGCCAGAGGAAATCAACATGCTAGACTGGACAACGACTTCAGTATTTTGTATTGGTGATTGGATTATAGCACATGTGGGAATTATTTGCTGTTTATCCTCATCACGGCTAACAAAACCATAAATGTTGCCAATGATCATTTTGCTTAAAAGACGTGACAAGAGTGAATTCCCGAATTTGAGATCATACTGTTGCATTAGACGTTCCTTCCATTTGCTCTAAATTTGCTAGTCACTAATTTTGTTTAACCTCCTCTTGTCTGCCTACTCTGTGAACAGAAATAAAAATAACTTCCATATATTTTCACTGTATAATTAGTAATTCAAAGTATCTCTAAGTAACACATATCAAATTCCTTTTTCCGTAATACCAGAGCATTTACGTTATCGTTAAATTCTCAAAAGCTAGTTTCATTCACGGTCTAAAGGAAATCTGCAGGAATTGCCCTACAGCACTTAGTTTCAGTGGCTGCTAGTGTTGAGTTTATGACCAAAATAATGCTTTTGCAAGGGCAACTGTCATCAAGCGCATCAGAGTCATAAAGTCTTGGTCAAATTCTGCGTTCATATCCAACCTGTGAAAGCCTACAGACTGAATGACTTTGCACACGAGGACCATCTGGAGCTGAGTTAAGCATCCTGCCATCACTCACTAATGGGACCAGAACCTTGTCCAGACTCCTGTAGCTGCAGTAGGTCTTCCAGGCTAGCAGCAGGCAAAAAAATACTTCGGTATCAAAAAAAGTCTGAGACTTCACTGATTGAGACTTCATATTGGGTTTATGCTCATATGCATGAAGCCATTTTCAGACTGGTCAAGCAATTGTTTTCTGAGAAGGCTTACGGATTTTTATATATTCACCCATACACACAGGTTTATAAAGATCCAGAGCCCCCAAAAAATCAGAGTAAACCAGCAATTCTAGGAGAACACAGATGAAATATCCTATATATCATGTTCAGAGACTGAATGCAGATGAATACATCTTTAGGATGCTTATGCAGATTATTGTGATTATACATTAAATTCTCAATTCAGATTGAGAAACTCTTGGGTCTCCTTAAGCAAAGAAGGAAAGAAAGATTAAAACACAGAATATACCTGAGTTAAACAAATCTTATCCTTTTTCTAAAAAACAGCTGGGTATTTTAACTGAAATATTCAAAGTGCAATTCAAATAAAGTGCACAAAATGGAGAATAAGGTAACCACAGCAAAGTGTGGCTAAACTAGCACTAACTTAAGGCAGACTATTAAAGATAATAGTGTTGTCCCTGATTATGGGCTGCAGTTGTTCTAGGAACCAACGACGCAAGCACACATCAGAAGCGATGAAGTAGGTGTACCTCAGCTTTTCGATGAGCCCAAAACCTAGGCTTGAATGTATGCATTTTGCATTTGGAAAAAGGCACATAAGCACACAAACAAAAAAGCATATGTGTAAGCAATCTCCCAGTTTGCATGACCATACGAGGCAGCATGTACCTATTCAGTTTTATGAGAAAAAGCTCAATCTTTGAAAATGTAAGTCAAGGATACCCCATACTTGATTAACAAAAAAGCCTAACAGAAGAAACTATAAAAATCTATTCTGCGTAGACTTGTGAAAACTTAGCTGAGCTGTACAGCAAACTGGTAGCTATTAGCTCTTAGTGGTAAACTGCACAGTGCTATCTCTGACATATGATGGTAATCATTTCCCTACCAAGCTCCTTGCTTGTAATGTATTTTTTGTAGTCACAAATGGGCTTTAATACATGCTGAAGTTGTGGGTTCTTCTTTGTTGTTATTTTTTTTACTTTTTTCTACTATGCTAATATTATTTTGCTAGTCTGCATGCATGGTATGTGAAAGCTGTTATTCTATATTTCTAACAAATGGTACAGATAAGGCAGAATTTTAACTATTTTGAAGAATTATATCAGAGAAAAATAATCAAAATGAGGAAGGAAAAGGATGCAAAGACTGAAGTTTCATTCTCTCTCTGCCCCTGCCCCCCTAAAAATTTTTCAAGTTTGTAAAATTAAAGAGTGATAAAAATGAAAATGGGACTGATCTTGAACCGACTTTACAAAGCACAGAATCTAAACACTCCTCTATCAGGGCTAACTTTATGTTTAGGCATAAACATGCTACTTGAGAAATTAACCAGCTGGACACATACATTACTGAAACACTTACACTCAAATTAATTCAATATCCAACGATAGATCTTCAGCACGCTGAAACTAAAGCTGCTCCTAGTAGGCAAAGCAAATTCAAAATATCTACAAAGAATCTCATTATGATTTAATGCTTGTTAGATATTAGCGTAAAGCAGAGACAATGGGGGAAGTGGCTGAGAATCAATCTTAATCAGACATACAGACACAAAATGAATTGAGGAATAAATAAAATTGTTTATATAACGGGAGATTAAGAATATAGGACAGAACCATGCATTGCAATTTTCTAGATGGTGAAATGACCTCCCTTTGCCCCCAAAATGAAAAATACTCTGCCGCAAATGGATTTCATAATCATGAAATAGCTCTTTCATATTAATAGATTGCAAATATACAAACAAAAAGTGGATTTTAAAGAATGACTCCCAGAAGAGGAAACTGGATGCCAACATTTGCAGAAGTAAGCCCAACAATAGCTTTCATAATGATTTCTATGCAACCTTATATAAACAATTTGATATTGTTTCCCTCAAACAGAGTAATACTTACAAAACAAAATTTTAGTCCCTAACAAGATCATGATCTAAACACAGTAAGAGTGCTTTTTGAGGCAAAGATTTACAGAAATAAACAAAAGTTGACAGTTATGGCAAAAAGTTGGGACTGGACTTTGAGAAACGATTTGCAGTATTGATTACTCTCAAAAGTGTTTTTATAATTTACCAATAAGAACATATTTGTGAAGAAGCTCACTATAGTAAAACACTAAGTCAACGGAGATAATATTTTTCTCTCCTTTTCTCTGAAAACTATTAAAATTAATTTTCTGAAAGTCATTAAGTGTAAGTTGTAACATCGCTTCCTCACTGTTACGGATGGTTATTAGCCACCAGTTAATAACTCAACTGCATATCCTTATCCTCTTTCATGTATTTGGCATTTTCTGGCCTTGTACGGTTTGTCAGAAACAACTACTAAGACAAGACAGCTT